ACTGATGCCTCCTTACTCACCGACACAAGTTATTCCATCGTAAGCGAGAGTGTAACCAGGCCAGCAACCACACCTGACTCGAAGATTACACAAGTTATAACAAACCTGTGAGCAGCCGCCATTATCAAGTTGACAAAGATCTGCAAAGGAGCCTACAAATGATTGAAGACCAAACACAAGTTAATACTTACAACTAACAATAGTTTTCCGTCAGTCGATGGCTTGGTCAGTTCGCCTTCAGACTTCTTAACGCTCGAGTGCGTATTTCGTATAAAAATCCATCTCTTGAACAGTCCACCTGAATACTCACCAACTCGAGAGTAAACTGCAACTTCACACATGGTTAGAATTCCTTCCCCAAACATCTGCACTGACACGTATCGACCTGGGATTGGTGGATCACACTGCACCCTTAGACCTTGTCCCTGGCCTACCGTCCTCACGCGGTCACCACACGAGGGGTTCTTCAAGTTGTTTCTAATGATGCCAATCCTGACGTCAAAGTTCTTGAGTCTTTCAAAGTTGTTATATCGGTTTACAATCAGGACGTCTAAAAGAAAAGATAGTATTAGAGAGAGGCATTTTTATTCGTCTTGTCAAGAGCGTGAGAAAAAAAAAAAACTTCTGATTCCTCATGAGGAATTGAATTTCAGACCTTCAGATTCCGCGCTGCGATGCTTTGTCACCGAGTCGCAATGACTCTACGATGAGACGAGCCATTACAAGGTTCAATTTTCCATCTTTCTTTCGACATGGCTGATCTTTGCAGTAAATAGGAAGTGTGTCGCATATGAAGAAACGTTTTTCTTTATTTCGTTACCTAGCTAAAAAAATTTTACGTACATACTATTTCTTACTCTGTTTGAAAAATAATTTATACAAAGTAAGCTTTACAGCTCGATATGTTTCGGTGTGAAAAATATGGCTCGAAAATGATAGAATTGGTTTCGTAAAATTTTCAGCTGCGTGAACTTTTGAAACTTTGTCTCAAATTAAGGTAGTAAGTTTCTAAAGAAACTGTGGTGCTGCGTCGGTGGGAGAAACGGAGTAATTTGGTTTTATCAACCGTGAGTTAATAATGTAAATTGACCACCTTAAAGAGTTTCAAAGCAGACGTTTCGAACGATAGCTCTTCGTCAGAACGAATGGAACCAATTGAGAAAGACAACTGAACTATATTTTCAAATAGTTTTTAAACTGGTTTCAGTCACACACCTGTTACAATATACTCCCTTCCAAGATCCACCCTCCACCATGGATTCTGTTCTTTCTTTGTGTGAGTGCAAGATTTTTCATTATAATAGACAGAATAGTTTTCATCCACGGCTCTGCTGCTGAAACCGTTAGAATCAGTGCTTGATTGTTCCGTTGTCTTCTTGAAAGCCAGATCTGGATAAGAAATGCCTTATTAAGATGCACTGCGGTCTTGAAAGTATCAGGCCAGCTTGCTGATGTACTGCTTATTTCCCAGTTCAAAAAAATTATCACAAATTTTTACTCAATTAAGAATCACGATCCTTTTCAGACAAATATATGATCGTTATAATATATATAGTCATATTAGTTCTAATATATATAGTCATATATATAAATGTTTGATTCCACTAACTACTTTCTTGACCCTTTGTATCATTCTATTAGAGCGCTTGGTGAACCAAAGTTTGCAATTTTACATGACAGGACGGAAAACACGTGCACTGTAAGTACCTCCCCATTGTCCCATACAAAGCCATAGAAAACTTTTCTAAGACTTTCTGTGGGACAACGGGAGGTACTTACAGTGCACATGTTTTTCCGTACTGTCATGCCAAGGATAAATGAGTTTAAGAGTTGGTTTTACTCTCAAGGTGCTGTGTAAATGAAATCCTGTTTCCCTCTTTTTTTTTCAAGATACTGTTGTGGGAAAAATATAGCTTTAAACGTACTTCTAGCGAACTTGCCACAGATGCTCAATACTGGTTCATCCGCAACTTCGAACCGCTGATCTAGTCTCGCTTGTTCAAAGTAACTGCACTTGTCAAGATGAACGTTTGGATCAGCTGCAAGTACAGAGAGAAGAAATT